CTGACAGCTTTGCCACTTATCAAGCAGAAAGTTCCTGAGCACTAACATTTGATTCTGTAAAAACAATGAGTCGTCCTTGTGGCACCTTAGAGACTAACACATTTATTTGGGTATAAGCTTTCGTGGGCTACAGCCCACTTCATCAGATGCATGGAGTGGAAAATACAGGAGCAGGTATAAATACATGAAAAGATGTGAATTGCCTTACCAAGTGTGAGGTCAGTCTAATGAGACAATTCATCAAGCTGAGTGAGGGAGTGTGTGTGTGTGTGTGTGTGTGTTCAAATGCCAAACGCCCACATGATGAAACCCGTTCTGTGTGTTCCACGTTTGAGCACTTTAGACAATGGAAGGTCAGAATTCACCCCCCCAAGCTGTATGGACATAGGCAGAATAATCCAAGTTACGGGCACAAATTTCCAAAAAGAGTGGAATAGTGGGCCCTAGCTAGTGCATTTTCAGAGAGCTGGGTTTCCCAATGTCTTATGGTAGCCTTCTTCACAATTACATAGATACATATATTCCAAGTCCAGAAGGGACCACTGTGGTCAATTAGTCTGACCTTTTGTATAACGCAGGCCATAAAGCTCCCCCTGCCCGCTCCCAAATTCCTAGAGCAGATCTTTTAGAAAAACACCCAATCTTGATTTTAAAATTGCCAGTGATGGAGAATCCACCAGGACCCTTGGTAAATTGTTCAAATGGAGATTTACAATAAAAGTCATTGAATGAAGAAACCACCAGTGTAAATGGGCAATAACTAGATAACTGCAGAAGGCTTAAGGGAGTTTCATAATTACCCCATGTACCCTGCTATATCATGTGCACTGCTAAGAACTGTTTTTTAAAAAAGGTGTTTATATTTAAAAAGGACACTTGAGTTTTTAAAAACTCAAAAGTTAAAGCTCCATACAAGGAGGAATATGCACACACACACCCCGCACACCTGTTTTTTTTAAAGGTTACATTCCAGTTTACCATGCTGTGGCTAATTTTATAAAGAATCAGTTTTACAGCTGGGAATGATAAACTAAACAAAATAATAAATACACAACTTGAGTTAGTTCCTTTAAAAAAAAAACAATTTGCAAGTGTGTTTGTGCTCCCAGAGGCACTGCCCAGGCACGGTCTTTCATGATTTAGAACTACAGCTTCATTTGTGTTAGACCTACTGAAAAAAAGCCAACCACCCTTCCAAAGCAGCTCAAATGTTGGCCCCCAGATGCCTCTCTTTCCATTTTGGCTGATATAGACTTCCATTTTTTAGTGCTCCAGAACAGTCTGTAGTAGACCCTCAGCATGGAGTTCAATTACCACTGACTGATATCTGTTTGGTAGAGCAGATTAGCACCCCCAACTAAAATCACATTAAAATCAATAATCATTTCTGAATTTGCCATCTTTCAGTCTGACAGTCTATTAAAATGAAAAGTGGCAAGTTCAGAATTGTCCAAAGGAAATACTTTATTCACACAATCCACATTTAGCCTGTGGAACCAAATGCCACAAGGTATCACTGAGATCAAGAGTGTAGTAGGGTTAAAAATGGGATTATCCATTCATATGGCTAACAAGAGTAGCCAGAGTTGTTATAGTACATAGGAAAGAATTTTGGAAGGGATTTAAACCTTCCTGCTTCATGCGGCAGTGGTTGGCTTTTGTCCTGGAGTCCAGGAGGAAACTTTCCCTGGGGGTAGATTATCCTAGAGATGCCTACTGTGAGGTTTCTTGCACCTTCGTGTGAAATAGCTGATACTGGCCACTGTCAGTGACAGGCTATTGCATTAGATAGATGGTTCTGATCTCGTATGGGCAGTTCCTATCCTTTTGTATATGAAATGAGTTTAGTGATCTCAGCTCAGTGAACAGGTGTCATGTTGCAATGCCACCAGTTCCACCACGCCATAACATGGCTGAGGTACATTGACTAGACGGGGGGAGGACCCTTATACTGCCATTGCCTGGTATGTGGCTAGAGAGAGCATTTGAGCCTGCACTTTACACAAGAACAAAACGAATGTAAAAATTTTAGCAGATACAGGTAAAAGGAAGCAAAGCTGTGGGGTTGTTAATATTCAGAGAGGTCAGACAAATGTCTTTCCTTTCCTCCCCACTCCCTTCTGTAGCTAGAATCGGGCTGGGCCACGAGAACTTGGATTAAGTGAAGTGCTTAACTAGCAGACAGCAATCTCCTTCCCAGTTCACCTTGGAGCGGCTGGCTTTCTGATATGGGTCTCCAGATCTGCATGTTCTGAGGCTGTGGGCTGGCAGGTCTCCAAAAAGGGGTATTTGCATGTCGGCCCACAGTGGGCAGTTCTAGGAAATGCCTGGTTCCTAATTGACCATCTGAGAAAGGCAAATGTGAAGGCAATCTAGTAAGTGAAATTGCAACTCCCTGGGGAATGCATAATTCAGGGGTAGTCAATAGATGCACCGTGGGCCAAATCCGGACCGTCAGATGCTTTTGAACGGATCCTGAAATCTTTTTATTTACCTATTCTTTTTTACTTATTATTTTCTCTGGAGTCTGGACCTTGACTATATCCCGAGGAAAAAATAACTGACTACCCCTGGCATAATTTATGCTGTCGAGACATTTCAGATGTGTAGCCAACAGGGGAATCTTTGGCTACTTGCGTTTTATCATCTTTAAGCTAACTCCAAGACACGCATACAGAATTTAGCCCTTTGGGGTCCTCCATGAAGATTTGGGACCCCTCCTGGCAGGTTTATAGTGGTGATTCAGCATGCATATGGGATACTTGTGTGCCGGAATGGCCAGTTCAACTTCTAAGTAGTAAATTGCACATGCAATACCTCATTTACATGCATAATCACAGTGAGTGTGAACACAAACAACTGTGCATGAGAGCAGCTACTTAAAAATTGGTCTTCATTTTGGAAAGCAAAGAACGCCCATAGAGGCAGTTTTGCCATCTGTGGCAGATATAATACTGAGAACATTTTTCTTTTTTATTATTTGCTAACCATTTCCAAACACAATACCTAAAGGGAAACTGCAGAATGGAAACCTCCTGTTAAAAATGGCGGGGGGAGTGAGGAAAGGGGGTTGCAGTGTTTTATGGCTTGACTCCTAGAGGCATCTCATATCCTGGCTTTTAGCCTGCAACGTGCAATCTCTGTCAGTGAGAAGCCATGCCACATGCTTGGAAATAGCTTTAACCCTGCTGCAAAATATTGCAGTCTATGTTCCTCAGGCATAATATGTTTCTGTGCTGGGTGCATCTTGTGATTCCAATAATAAATGAGGTAGGCGAAATTGGGGGTGCTAATCTGCAGTGCATAATATCAAATGTATTGGTCAGATCTATGTTGGAGAAATTGTTTGACTCTACTAGTCTATCAGACTATTCCATCTCCCACACCCCTGTTCTTTTATGTTTTGTTAACAATATTTAGCATATTGGTCTGTTATGGCTGGGAAATAAATTAGCAGGAAGCCTGGTTTGAATTGGCAATGTAGTAGATACAGATACTGGCCCCCAGTTTGGCAGAAGTATAGATCTGTAACCTTCAGCCACAGCCAGATCTGGGCTGACATACGGAAGCCAGTCAGAAAGCCGGCCGTGGTAGAAATGTTGCTGCATAGAGATGAGAGCCGGATGAAACCCTTAAAGGCTCACACAAACCTTTCATGAGTTTTGCATGAGTCCCAGAGGGTCAGGGACAGCTAACGTCTCTCTCTCTCTCCCCTCATCTAGCCTCCCCCAGTGCCACAATAGATACCACTTTCCTTTTCTACTGCATCTTGTGCCATCCTCTTTAGATCAGAGAGCTTGATGATCTAGAACCGAACCTCCTCAGGCTCTCTGTTCTGGGAGGCAAACCTCCACCCACTCTCGCTTTAGAGAGGAGATGTAGGTAGGAGCAGCATCCTATGGGTATGGTTCTAGAGGTGGTAGGTTGCTGGCCCTCTCAATTCTGCAACAGTAGGACCCAAAAGCCTCCACTAGTCTTATCTTACCACCTTAGGGGGTCTGAAATGTCCCAGCATGCAGCACAGAATTGATAAGGAGTCTGGCATCAATGTAAGAGGCACCTGTTGTCAGGGTAATACCAAATAGTGCTAGCCCAGCTTTCTCCCAACTAAGGTTCTCAAATGACTTGGCAAACATTTCTGCATTGAAGCCTGGCAGCCCTATGTACCGTTATCCCCATTTTACAAATGGAGAAATGACATTTGTCCACCTCTGCTGTGCAGATAAGCTCTGGGTTTTCCTCTTGCCTCATCGGGCACCTGTTGCTCGTATCCGGGCATTACTCACATCCGATAAGTCACATCTTGTTTTCCATAATAAACACCAACTCTTTTGTTTCCTTCCTTCCCTTGAAGTTTTGTTCTGTTGCCTTACCTGACTATAGGCACGTGCTCCATTTCATTCTTGAATCTTAATCAAAAAGTGAATGTGAGTCTGGCTGCCTGGGTATCACTTCAGGGGTGGAGAAGGAGAACGTGGCGTTTCTGCCCCTAGACCGAGGGCTATGGGATGATGCATTAGAACAGAATGGGCTATTGGTGCTATTTTGTTGTTTGATACTACACCAGTTTCTTAGATTTTTTTTTTTTTTAAATAAAACCAAGCCTGGTTGTACATAATGCTGTGCAGTTGGGAAGCTGTGCCAAGCACAGGACATGTTCCCTGCCTCAAAGAGCTTACATTTTATCGGCACAAACTGGTACTCTACAGAGTAGTGTACTTACATGCTCTGAGTAAGCTCCGCTCCTTTGAGATGGGAGGTGCTTATATCAATGGGAAATACTGTTTTCCAAAGCATGTGTTATATTTGCTTCGTTCCCTGTGATTCCTATTACAGGCACCTGTCTCATGCTAATATCCCCCAAAATGAAGTCTTTGAGGATAAACTGTATAAGACAGCGTTATTCTTTTTTTGCAGTCACAGTGTATCTGATTCTGCAGGCACTTAAGCATGTGAGTAATTTTCTATATGTGAGGAGTCCCCATTGACTCCAATAGGATTCTCTCTGGTTTCTCTTCAGATCGTATAAATCTTTCGCCTTTTACTAAAGATTACTCATATGTGTAAGTGTTTATGAGATTGGGCTGTATAATTGTAGATGATAGTGGATATAATATTTGGCTTGTGCGGAAGCCTAGTAATTCTAGCTGCACATGCTCACTTCCTGATTTTTGCTTTTCAAAATGTTGCCAGTATTAGGAGGAGAACAACTGGGGTTCAGAACTCCTGTGAAATATTGGTCTCCTTTTTTCAAGTTGATGTGTAGCTGCTGTGTTCTGGTTGTGTCTCAATATGAAAATCTGAGCTAGACTAAAAATAGTGTCAACATATTTTGCCATTGACTTAAGGCAAAAATCCATCGAGTTCAATGGAAGTTCTGCAACTGGAACCCAGCAAGATAAGGACCTTAGACATACCATTACAAATCCATGTATTGTACTTAGGTAGTGCCCCACGTAGTAGAGAAGAGACATGGCTTGGTTGTAATGATTAAAGGGGATTCTTTTTTGAGGCTGCTGGACATAGAGAAGACCTATGGGTCTTTTTGGCTCACAAGTTGCCAGAATAACCCATCCCGTCCCCAGACAGAGTCTCCCTTCTGATATGGACATTGTAGCCATAGACCCCAAGACTGAAATTGAACCCACTCATCATCCATAGATGGGGCTGTTGATTACTGGACAACTTACAGATGTCAGCTGTTGCACAATAGAACAACGAGTGACCTATGAGAAATAGATTTCTGTTTCTCAAATTGATTAGATCATCTCAATTACCTTATTTTATTTTTTTCTGAATATTTATTTGCTGCTCAAGTCAATAATCTCCAGAAACACAATTCTGCTTATAAACATAATTAGTGGGCTGAATTCCCAGGCATCCCCATGTGACTTAGACATTTCTAGCAACTAAATGAACAAATGCAAATACATGGATATGGGGAGGTGGAAATAGTTACTTTTGTTATTTGTGTTACCATCACATATAGGATCCCTGGTCATGGACCAGGACCCATTGTGCTAGGTGTTGTACAAACACAGAACAAAAAATAAGTTCCTATCCCAGAATGTACACTCTACATAATGAAATATATAGTGTGGTTGTATTGCTCATTTTCTGCTTCACTTGGTCACATCTGGAACAAATCGGTTGTTTTTTATGAATTCACAAGAAGTTTTTATGATAGTTATATTTTCCTCTTTAAAAAATGCAGTGAAAAAGAGAAAATGCAAAAGCAGAATATGATACTGTAAACTGGTGTCCACTATCACCTGTTACTTAAATGTATACAACTATTTGTGATTTAGGAAAGAAAACACCCCAAATTTCCAGATGGAGAAAGCCTCTTCTGTGACAAATGCAGCACCATCGGGTAAAAATATTATTATAAAACGTCAGAGCAAGCATAAAGCAGCATTTTACTAGCCTCTAGGTGTTCATAAATAAATTGCAGGCCTGTGTGTTCCTGAAAAGTACAAGTGCTATCTTGATTGCATTTGTCACCCGTCCCTGCATTAGTTCATAAAGATAACTGCAAACTATCAACAGCAATCTGGAAAAATAGTGCATCCTTCGTTAAAAGCAATATCCTATTAAATTTTAAACAAAAGTGCCTTAACTTTTTCCAAACGTGAAAGAATTTTTCACTGCAAAGCTGGTTTTGCAGTGATCTAATTAGTTAACAATAAAGCAGACACTTAAAAAAAAATGTCAGGCAGAACCCACCCAGTTCTAATCAGATTACATTTCGGTACTACATGGCTGACAGGGGATAACGAGAGAAAACTCAAAAGTTTTCTGTGCAATGGATGCTGAGATCAGAGCAGAGGACAATACATGTTTGTTACAGCATGATTAAGCTATTGAAGTATAGGTGATCTTATTATAGATAGATCAACATCTACAGTAAATGTAATAGCACAATGTAAAACTCAAATATAAGTGACTCAATTTCAATTCCTTTATCCAATATTTTTTTCTTTAGAATTGGATTTGATCGCCAAAAACCTATTTTCGGCTGCTTCTTTTTTAAATCCCTCCAATTAAAAATTGTTTCCCTGCTTTAGAAATACTTTGCTGTGGAAAATCCGCTTGGGGCTGTTAGGTAAGATGTTAGGGCTGTGGCTTTAAATCATTTTTTTTTTCATGCACATGTACAAATCATTTTAGCTTGCAACCATTTGCTGACTACCAAAGCACCTTGAATTTTCCTTTCCTGTTGCATTTCAGGACCTAACCTATGGCAATGGAGTAATGTACAAATTGAAACAGAGGGGTATATATTTAGTTACAAAGCAGCTAGTGGTGGCAGCTAACTGTATATCTGAGGTTAAGGTTTAAAATGCCCGCATTTTAGTGAGACTAAGCTTCCATTGCTTTGCAATTAGCCAAGTGGCTGTACTCATGTAAAACTACTGATTTTTTTTTCAATTGCAAATTCATTTTATGAGCTAGATCTTTGATCTTCTCAGAGGGCTGGCTGTGAATAGCTTCATGTTTTAACCCAACCTCCTCTATGGGCTGTAATAATGTGACTTTAAGTATTTTCTTCTGGGTTGAACTGTTTCAATTAAAATGTAAAAATGTGGGTGAGAGAGATTTGGGGCAAAAGACGATAACATGGATTGATGAAGGATTCATTTCTTTCTGGGGTTATAAAGAAAGGGCTAAAATAGTCTGGAGACAAAACAATACATTTCCATTAGGAACAACGGGGGAAGGAGTGCGTTCCGAATTAACATCGACAGGGAAGATTCAAACCGATCGAGGCGCGTTTACACTCCGCCCTGGTTATCCGGGGTGTGTGATTTTAATTTGAGGCGGAATATTACACCCTGGTGATGGAAAGCGTCAGGCAACACCATAAACCCAAACCCCTCCTCGCACAGAGGTGGCAATTGCTCTGCTTCCTTTCCCTGCCCCCCCATGTAAACAGCCGGAGGGGCGTGTGTTTGTGTGTGTAACCTTGTGTGAAAACTCCTCTTCCCTCCCTCCTGCGCGCTGTAATTTACTGACTCAAGCCCTCGGAAGTCAGGGTTGTTTTGTTCAGAAAGCTCTCTCCAGCCTGATCTCCCCCAGCTGGAGGTTAAAGCGCTGGGCAGTGGAGGGCAGTTTGCACGGAGCAAATCGAGCGCTAGGGATGGTTTTGCATTTGGAAAGCGTTGCATTTCCCTCTACCAGTGCCCGTACAGGAGAACAACGGGACTGTCCCTCCAGAGCGCCTTTTCACCCCTTCCCCAGGGGGCACGGCCCAGAGAAAGGAGGGGGGGAGGGCGGCTGCTGCTCTGTGGCTTTAAGGGACTCCAGCGATCAGCCTGGCAGGCGCCCCTGAGCCTCACAAAAGAACAGGATGTTGTTGATTTGTAACCAAACCACAGAGAGGAAATGATTGTAAATTTCCTCTAAACATCCCCACTGTCTGCCTGCCTCCCTCCCTTCCGCCTCCTCCTCCCCCGCGGTAGAGGAGCTGCTGTTGCTTGCAATTTCCAAAGGGGGTTTCTGCTGGGCAAATGGATCCCACCTCGTTTTACAGCCCTCACCCCCCCCTTAAATTAATCTGCTTTTAGTTAGCACATTACTGACACCTTTTGTGTGTGGGTGGGTGTGGGAGGAGACCGGTTTCTAGTTGACACCTCGCCTGCAAAGGCAGTCCCGCACGTAGAGGGGGAGAAGGGAGTGAGGGGTGTTGATGGATTGTGTGTCTGTCTCTCTTGACAGAATGAGTTGCATTATCTGTATTTGCTTATCCTAATTCGTTTACTATTCAGGATGCTGCAGTGGAATAAATGTTTAACTCAGCCCTTCCTCCTTCAAAGCAGCGCTGGACTATTACAGCACTGCCTAGTTTGATATTACCAAGTCTTAACACCTTAATATTTTGCTGACTAATTTCCTTCCCATCCCCTCCTCCAAATACCCAGACTATATACATAGAAAAAACAGAAACCTTACAGGCTGGAAAATTTATGATTTCAAAGGAATCTCCTACGTGAACAGGATCTACGTCCTTTCTTTCTTTTTTTCTTTCTTTCTTTCTTTCTTTAAACCCAGCTGTATATCAGTATTTAATTCAAGTATTCATGGGCCCAATCCAGCAGGCTTTACTGTGGAAACATTCCTATTGACTTAAGTGAGTTTTGCCTCAGTCAGGATCACAGGAGCGGGAGAGTAGTTTGGAAAGTTACAACAGGATAAGGAAGAAAAGTAAATTCTCAATTATTTTGCCTTCAACACTTTTTTTTTTTTTTTTGTAAAAAGTTGATTTTGAACTGACAAGATCTTAGTTGTGTTGCCATAGAAGACCTGAAGAAGAGTGTGTAAGCTTCAAAGCTCGTCTCTTACCAACAGAAGTTGGTCCAATAAAAGATATTACCTCACCTACCTTGTCTCTCTAAGATTTTGGTTGAGGTCAGGGAATTTACTGATGTTAGTGACCTGCAGTCTATAGGAAGATAGTCTGGGCAGCTAAAGTGTTGGTGGCACATTTCCACAGTATAGTAGTGAGTGGTATGGTGAAATTTTTAAAGGGGAAGTATTGGTTACTGACAAACAAAACCTTATAGTAGTTCAAGAAAGCTGATCTAGGGGCTGCGCTGTAAAATATCTGATACTGAGGCTGTCTCATAATAATGATCAGAAAAATATGAAGCTTGGTTACCGCCACAAAGAAGAAGACCCCATTTACAGTTTGATACAGGTCAATTCCTACCTTTGTATTTAAAGAATTCCAGTTAGTAAGATGGGTGTTAAATCATTATGCAAATCTGTACCATTTGGAGGATAGGAAACATGTAGGTCAACATCTCATCTCAAGTTAAAATTGCTGGATAATTGGATGCAACACTGACATAAAGGTTAAAAGGAAAATGTGAATAAGGGGAAACCACCACCCTGTAAATGAAGCAAGGGAAGCAATGAAATATACATATAATTTCAGGTTTATTTAGGTTGGATGTTTCTCTAGAGACCATCAAGCCCATCCCTCTGCATTGTGGCAGGACTGATTTAATTATTCCTAAACCATCATTAATGGATGGGTTTCTAGGCTAGCCTTGAATGGCCTCAGCACTGGTGGGTGATTCCACAACTTCCCGTGACAGCTGGCTTCATTGCCGATC